CAAGGTCCTCTCTCCCATTTACGAGATGGACGTAGGAGAGGCATTGCAGCGCTTTTCGGATAAGGAGGGGAATCCTGAACAACAGGCGGATGAGGAGAGACAAAAACGGGACCAGGACTTTGCAGAGCGGGACTGGCGCCTGCTACGGCAGCTTCTCTCAGACCACGAGTCTAACCTGGGTGTCACAAACCCTGTTCCTGAGGAGCTCAACCTGGCCCAGTACCTCATCAAGCAGACGCTGTCCTTGTCTCGTGATTGCCTGGACTCGCAGGCATTTCTGTCCCCAGAGAGAGAGACTTTCAAACGATGGGCTGAGCTGATCTCACCGTTGGAGGACTCGTCTACCAGCATCACCGTGACTAGCTTCTCTCCAGAAGATGCTGCTTCTCCACAGGGAGAGTGGACCATCGTGGAGCTGGAAACACATCACTGACCACATGCAAGACAACCTGTCCCACAATCACTGTAACCGTCTTAATTTAGAATAATTTGTCTTTTTGTTTCCTGGACTGCACAGATCTCTGCAGTTTGTTTACATCCTTACTATTGAGACCATTCATTTAAACCGATGGGCTGTTGTGAATGCAAATATTTTTGTATGTTTAACTGTTCAGTTTGTGACCTGGAAGACTCAAAAAAACACCTGCTTCTTTAGATCTATAAAACGATTTACTGAAGTTTCTTAAGAAATAAACAGACTTACATTGTGTGTAAAATAAAGGTTTGTGTTTCTGGAAACTAAAAAAAAATGTCTTCATCTGACATTCACTCAGTTTCTCTACCATCTTACTCCTGTTCAGGATCTCTGGAGGTCAAAATGACTTGGACCAGTTTACCATGGCATTAAGCCCTTTTCTAAATTTGACCCTGAAGATGTTTCACCAACACTGCCGTCCTGTTGTCCTCAAAAATAGAATAAAAAAACTTGCCACTTATTTTAATGTGGGTTGCATTGATAAATGGCTTTTTTCAGATTTCAGATTTATTGGCCAAGTAAAATTACATTTACAAGGAATTTGTCTTCGGTAGATGTTCGCTCTCTAAAACAGACAACAGCCACAATAAATGAGAATAAAAATACCTAAAAACACATAAGAACATGTATACCCACACACATGTTCATTTACACACACCCATATATACATACCCACACACACACATATCCATAAGCATACTGAATAAGTATTAAAAACTATAATAAAAGGATGGTAAAAGAATCTACAGATTCAGGAGAGAAATGGCTGAAGGAAAGAAACTGTTCTTGTGTCTGGTAGTTTTTGTGTACAGTGATCTATCGCGTCTGCCAGATGGGAGGAGATGGAAGAGAGTAGATGCAGGATGTGTGGCATCTTGGACAATATTCACTGCCTTTTTCCTGCTCCTGCTGATGTACAGGTCCTGGACAGAGGGCAGTTGGGCACCAATGATTTTTCCTGCTGTTTTAATAATACGCTGTAGTCTGCATTTGTCCATTTTTGTGGCTGACCCAAACCAGACAGTGATATGAGCAAAGTATGGATTCAATACAATCCTAATATTCCTAAGCACGTTTAAAGGTGCTATTTCTAGGGTCGAGAACTTTGTAACCATTATAAATGTATGAAAGCCAAGAAATGCAAACTCGTTTTTTAAAGGAACAATAGTGAAAAATCAAGCATGACTAGTGTGAGATATCCGCGGTTAATAGCTGGAATGTGTGTGTGTGTGTGTGTGTGGGGGGGGGGGGGGGGGGGGGGGGCATACATACCTATGTCAACATTGCCAAAGTTCCTACTCCAAATCGTAGCCACTGAGCTACTATTTTAACATTTATGCATTACACCCTTACAACTTAAACATCAGTTCTGAACATTAATAAGTATAAAAATATATTTTCACCAAACGCGATAAAGTTGGACCTTTTAGACGCTTCTCTGGGGGAAATAAACGTGTTGAATAACCTAAACAACAGCGACACCTAGTGGTGTCTTGCAGAGTCCACATGTGGACGTACTTTATGTTTATTTATTTACTGACATTGTTTTCAACGCTTCGTCATTCATTCCCCACTAACTGAAATGGAAACAAACGAAACTACTCCGTGGAAAACAACAATTATAATGAGCGTTTCACTTCAGGTGAAGACACCTTTTGGAGCTCTAACACAAAAGTAGCTAGCACGTTAGCATACACGTTAAGTTGCCTAAATAGATCTTATTTATATTTCACGGTGGGTTTTGTTATTATTCTGTTTTTATTTATTTTGTTTGTGGGCAGAACCACGAAGTCTACAGGATGCTTAGAGCTCAGCAGCACCGAATCAGGCTCTCTGGCAGCGTCGAGGCTGGATCTGTTATCTTCCCTCTGTCAGGTAAAACTGAGTTGTATCAAACACACCTGCTTCACATGTGTGTCCATATGTACCACTTTTTAATGTACATGTTACAAATAAACAATTCTTAATCATTTGAGACTTAAGCACATATTTGAAGTTCAGCTGCTCAGGTGGGACTCCAGTGGCTTTTGGTGCCACCAACATGAAAGTGGTGACACCAAACCTTGTACTGATGCTTCAGGCTGCTGGTGGTGGTGGTGTAATGATGTGGGGGAGATGTTCTGGTCCCATTAGTACCACCTGAGCCTGGTTTAAACTCCACAGCCTACCTGAGTATTGTTGCTGACCATGTCCATTCCCTTTATGACCACATGGACCCATCTTCTGATGGCTACTTCCAGCAGGATAAAGCACCATGTCACAAAGCTCAGATCATCTCTAACTGGTTTCTAGAACATAATGATGAGTTCACTGGACTCCAGCCACTTCCAGTCACCAGATCTCCATCCAGTCCAGAACCTCTGGGATGTTATTATGGAACAGAACCTCTTTCCAACACCCATGGCATGATGGATTAAAGCACTTCTGAGGGCAAAATGGGGTCTATAAGGTGTAGCTAATAAAGTGGTCAGTGAGCGTTTGGTTAAAATGAGTAACTCGTGACTTCTCACTTTAATTCCTAGGTACTGCATTTCTGCTAGCTGAACCTCAAGGCTTCCCAGAGTCTCTTGACCATTCTGAGTTCTTTGAGCTCATAGAGAAGTTCACACAAGTCCATAGGAACTGCTTTTTACTTCTATTTGCCACCTTTTCTGGGAAAGGACAACTGCAAACTTTGACAGAAATTCAGAGCAGGTATTTAAGTCTCAGTCATCTCTATAAAATCTGTATTGTTCTAAATTTCATTTAGTTAAAAGGGGAATATGATTCTTGTACACACACACACAAATTAATTATTTTGTTAATTAATTATTGCATGTTTCCTTTAACGTATTTGTAAAATGGAGCACGTTGTCTCTTCCAGATTCTTTGGCAGCAATCTCAGAATCCTGCCTGTTCAAAATGCTGCAGAAATAGTCAGAGGAATGCTGGCAATTGCCAAGGTGGCCTTAATACAAATCTGCAAAACAAATATGTTGTTCTTCACTTAGGATACTTGAGTCATAAAGGCCCTATTTTTTTTGCAGGCCACCAGTAAGCCACATGCTGACAGGATCCAAGCTCGCATGTCTCTGGTCCGTGCACACATCATTGAGAACAGTCCTGTGTGGGACATCCTGAGAGACCAAAAGCCAACCTGTCCATGATTCACTTTTGTTTCATAACACAAACTACACTATTACAGTTATTCTTTGCACAAGTAAACCCATTTGATGCAAAGTTTATAATAATAAGAATGTCTAGTCTGCTTATAATTTAAGATTTGTATCCTCATTTTGAATTCAGATTTAAGTTTTCAGACCATTCTGATGCTGACTTTCAACAATAAAGGCTCAAAAACACATGGTCCATGTTTGTTAAATCATTTTCTTTAATTATTTATTAGATGGACATTCTATTAATTCCAAATGTCAGTTTGACAAAATATTAGGAACACTCCACTTTGCCCAGCTGGATGTTGCGTTATGGTTTATATTTAGGTGTAAATTATGGTTTAAATTTTATTTTGGGGCGGTCTTTGGAGAGTTCCAGGTCCAAACCTACTGTTGACTAAAAAAAAAACACCTCGATGGTATATGGACTTTTGGGAAGATATTCGGTAGTCCCACATCAGGTGTGAAACTAACAAAATTTCAGTCAAACATGGAGGTGGTAGTGTGATGGTTTGGCTGATTTTCTGCTTCAGGACTTGGCCCACCTGCTTGGTTTTCTTGTGTCTAGCAGAAAATTTTGAAAAAGAATTTAACATTAGGCAAAATTAACATTTGGTCCAATATCGATATCTGATATTAATATATCTGTCGTGGCCTATTACCAGTACTTATATTTACTAATATTAGAATTATTCATAATTATAATATTGTTGGATAGATACAGACACACGCGTTAACATTTCTGAGATGTTTACGCATTTACATGAGGCCAGGTTAGGTAGTCTTTTGTAGTAAATGAAACTGTTTGAAAACAACATTTTGTCACACAAATGACCTTTGTGTGATATTTGAATTTATTTGCTGAGCTGAAACAATAAAGTTTGGGAATAAAGCAAAGATTTGAATGAAGAGAGTTGTTCCTTTCCACTGTCACCTTCTGCTTTTCTACTCAGGTTGAGGGATTACATCAGGATGAGGGATTACATCAGGGCAGTCTGCAGGATTCCTTATTTTACCTAGTGTTTAAAATGTACTCTGTAGAGGTAGGAAGCTGTCTCAGTGCATTTTGCTCAGCTTTTCCTCAGTGATCTCTTCAATTCGGACCACAACACTCTCCATCATGTCAAACGTCACCAAAGCACTCTGCAGCACCTGAGAATCCAGACAACAATCAGATTGGTCGCTTCACAAAATCACACGATAAAGATGAAACTAACTAATCCCATACCTGGTACTGGACCTGTGGAGACATGTTAGACACTTTCACATCCTTTGTCGTCATGGTTTTGATCAATCTGGTGGATCTAGCTGCATCTCTGGCTTCTATCAGACAATAGAAGTTCAATGTTCTGCTAAATGTGTCGCATAGATTAGCAGCCAATCTCTACCTTTTGCTTTCAGCTGTATGTCCTCCTTTAGTGATTTTAGCTCAGCACAATAATACGCTCTTGACATGCTGATGCACACTCGCACGATTTTTAGGTATTGGTCTTTGATCCTGCAAAGCTCCTTCCACATTTCTACCTGAGGGGTGGAGAATCTGAAGATGATTGTTCTGCATTAGGGTCAGTTAGGGTCAGGTGGACTTACGCTGCTTTTCAGTTGTTGGTCTCGGATGAGCAAATAGCGCAGCAGATTCAAAGTCTCCATTATTCTGGATGGAAAAAACCAGAACATCTGTTAGTAAAAGTATCAGAGAAAAAGTAATCAGAGAAAATTACTTGTTCTGGTAAAAGAAATCCTAAAACAAAAAGCATGAACAAGTTAAATAAACATTATTTTTGAAGAGTACAGATCATTATAAGACACTTTAGAATAATCTAGCTAGAACATATCACTGTAGAATAATTTATTAAATAATACAGTTTTATAAAAACTGATAACTGTAGATTGTTTTTGACAGTTATAGAAAAATGGATACTATTTCTGATCAAAATAGATTATTAGAATATTTTGGAGTATTTTATATTGGAGGATCTGCCTCAATGTCTTCTTCCTCTTCGTCATCATCACCGATGTTGACTGGAACAGTAACTGTCTTTCATTTTCCATAGAAATTTTAGTTTAAATATGCAAAATATATTCAATATTGTAATTGCAATCATTACTTTTAACATGATTATGAGGATTAGGTCTGAAAAACAATAGATATAACCTAAAATATACATAATGCCTTTGATACAGTAGACCACACTATTCTTTTAACCCGTTTAAAACAGATCGGCCTCTCTGGTGCTGTTCACAGTTGGTTCACTTCTTACCTCACAGACCGGACTCTTATGGTGAGTTTGGATACCTGTTTCTCTGGGGTCCACAGCATCACACGCGGTGTGCCTCAGGGTTCAGTTCTAGGCCCAGTGCTTTTTAAACTCTATATGCTCCCTCTGGGCAGCGTCATCAGGAGACACGGGGTGAATTGCCACAGTTACGCTGACGATACACAGTTGTACATCTCCGTGTCTCCTGATGACGCACAGCCAATGGATACACTTTTTTACTGCATCTTAGATACTGCAATGCCCTGCTTTCTGGTCTTCCCAAAAAGAGCATCTCGGGTTTACAACTTTTACAAAACTCAGCAGCACGTGTCCTGATGAAGACCAGGAAGTGGGAGCATATCACTCTGGTTTTAGAATCATTGCACTGGCTCCCCGTGTGTTTCAGGATCGATTTTAAGGTTCTTTTAATGGTTTTTAAGTGTCTTAATGGTCTCGGGCCTTCTTATCTTTCAGAACTGCTTTTACTATATAAACCCTCGCGGTCTCTGCGCTCCTCTGGCAGCCGTCTCCTAGTTATCCCTAAAGTTAAGACACACACCCACGGCGAGGCGTCCTTCAAGTATTACGGCCCTCGCCTTTGGAACGGGCTGCCGGAGGACCTCAGGGCCGAAGGGAACATCCAGGCTTTAAAGAATAGGCTCAAGACCCACCTTTTTAGCTTTTAACTGATTACTATTTATCCAGTCTGTTTAACTGTATCGCTTGTCATATTTGTTTTTTATATAAATACCTATTTGTCTCTTTTACTTAATTTTATTATTTTATTTACATCTTAGTGTTTTTTTATGTTGATGTTTTCTTTTACTATCCTTGTAATCAGTTTTTATCAGTTACTTTCTTTCCATATTAGCTTTTGTTATTTTACAGTTATATGTTTTAATCCTCCAGTGTTTCCTCTGCGGAGCCCTCTGCCTTGGGGCCGGTGGTCGGCAGCGGCGGCCGGGGCGCTCCTCGGTTAGTGCCCGGGCAGTGGTGGGGGTCTCCGCCTTCCCTCCCTGGGCGTCATGGGCCGGTGTCATGGCTGCTGCCATGGATCTGCTGCTGTCGAGGCAGATGGCTCCGCTGATGATGTGTCGTCCATTACCTGACCCATCTGAACTCAGCCTATTGTTTACTCTGTTGGCATTGATATTTTTAAAATTTTTCAAGTTATTAAGCTTTTTCTGCAGAAATTTTCCCATTGAAATGAATGGGATTCGTCAATTTTCAGCAAATTTCTATCACCTTTTTGACCTAAAACTGTATTGGTTTCCTTTTAACTTAGAGACTTCATTCAAAGTTTAACAAACTCACAAGAATTTCCTGTTTAACATATTAATGAGGCTTTTTGATATCGTTTACAGTTTTTCTAAAATCTTCTGGCTAAATGGAATTACACACCCACACATGTGAGTCATCAAATCGATCGGCTAGGCCTAAGGAATCCATCCATTCATCCATCCATCCATCCATCCATCCATCCATCCATCCATCCAATAAACCATCTAACATCCATCCAACAATCCATCCGTTATTTCATTCATCCAACCATTCATCCATCCCAAATCAAATCTAGACATATGTTAATCTATCAGTTTCAGATATCAGCAAATATTTCTAAATTCACAGTTCAGCCAATTGTAAAAATGTACCCGTTAAACTATTCTCATTCAAATGCCAGCTGTTTAACATTTCAAAGTTCGAGTTTTTAATAAATGTTCAAAGATTAAAGTTTTTTTGCTGTTTAGCATTTTTTATCCATTCTTCACCTATATTCTGAGCTTTATTACACTTGGTGGTGATTTTTGCTTCTAAATCTTTAAATTCATTCAGCTCATTTTGACAGTTTAGCTTAGTTTCAGCTTCACTTCAGCTATTCAGCAGCTTCAGCAGTCCGTTTCTGAATTTGGCTTATGCTACTCATTTCACAGTTCAACTAAATATAAAAATGAAACTGTTAAACTAGTCCTACTCAAACAACAAGTGTTTAGACTCTTTTGCTGTCCAGATTTTAAATAAGGTTCAGATTTCAGTTTTCTGCTGTTTAGGATTGTTTTCTCCGTTCTTCACTTTTTGTGCTTTATTTACATTTTGGTGCTTTTTGCTTCTAAATCTTTCAAAACATTCAGCTCATTTTAACAGTTTTGCTTAGTTTCAGCTTCAGCAATTAGTTTCTGAATTCAGCATATGATGCTAATTTCACAGTTCAGCTAAATGTAAACATTAAACTGTTAAACTAGTCCTACTGAAATAACAGGCGTTTAGATATTTTAGCTGTCCAATATTTTTAATCAGTGTTCACAGATTTGAGTTTTCTGCTATTTAGGATTAGTTTTCTTGATTCTTCACTTACTTTTTGTGCTTTTTTTTTTTGCTTCTTGGTGCTTTTTGCTTTCACATCTTTCACTACATTCAGCTCATTTGACAGTTTAGCTTAGTTTCAGCTTACTTCAGCTATTCAACATCTTCAGCAATCAGTTACCAAATTTAGCATATACTGCTAATTTAACAGTTTAATCTTTACATGTTTAAACTGTTAAACTTGGCAAACTGAAATAACAGGTGTTTAGACATTTTAGCTGTCCAGATTTTTATTTAAAGTTCACAGATTTAAGTTTTTTTTTTTTTTTTGCTATTTAGCATTATTTTTCTCTATTCTTCACTTACTTTTTGTGCTTTATTTGCTTGATGGTGCTTTTTGCTCCTACATCTTTCAAGACATTCAGCTCATTTTGACAGTTTTGCTTAATTTCAGCTTCAGTTCAGCTGTTCAGCAGCTTCAGCTTACAGTTTCAGCTATACAGCATTCAAACTGCATTTGTGCAATAAATGCAATTTTTCTAGTTGTCAATTGTTTTATACTTGGGGAGGGGGGCTGGGATGGGAATATGGGATCTATGGGGCCATTTTAATCTGTGAAGCACTTTGAGTAGCATTTTTTTTTTGTATTAAAAGTGCTATACAAATAAAGTTGATTTGATTATTTATTTTACTTGTTCAAATATGGCAGCTACGGTTTTGAAGTTATGATTTCACCATCTTCATTAAGTTTAACATTTACAACACATGTTTCCTTGTTTGGCACAACTAGTCAACCTAGTGATGTGAGAGTTTCATAAATCTAGCATTGTTAGTTTTAGAGCTCTGACCGTAAAGACAAGAGAAGATGAGCTGCAGAAAGGCAGTTTTCTAGTTTTTCCACAACAAACAATGGGACTGCATGATGGAGAGGTTGTTGGTACTTTGGTCTGGCAGCCAGGTTTGTGGTTTAGGTCCCAGCTGCAACTGTTCAGTAGGATGCTAGCACGTCCTCCTTCATGTATGTGTGGGTGGACTCCGATTTGTGAAATATTTTGCTAACAGACAAAAATGAACCCAGACACATAACTACCCACTTTTCTCTGTGAGCAGAAAAATGAACCCAGACACATAACTACCCACTTTTCTCTGTGAGCAGTGGTAAAATTGCACTGGCCCACCTTTAAAGCTTTTGCTTATACCACTCACTTGTCCATGTTGGTGAGCAGGTCTGTCTCAGCCCCTTGTGGTAAATGCAACACCAGTTCTAGCAAGGGCAGAAGGTCTGGTCCCAGGAACCATTTATTTGCATTTCCCTGCCAGAAGAGGCATTGCAGATGAAAAAAAATTCTTCAAATTAAGACATCAGATCTAGGATCGGAAAACATTCAGGTTACGATGTACAAAAGCAGCATTTTCTCGCATATGTTGAAATTTAAAGGTGTTTTTGCAAATGTCATAAATCCTGGAGCCTGCAAGTGGATCTATCATGTCTTCGTGAATGAATAATAAACAGCTGATGCAGTGATGTCTGATGCTTTGTTTTGAGCTCATGGTTCTAACATTTTTTACACCAATATTCCTCCAGATGCTTTGAAATATTTTATTTTATTTTATGGAACATTTTTCTGAATAGGTTAATGTTTTTAACTCACCTTCATAGAAGATTGTATTTCATTCTTGATGTTCTTGACTATGTAAGCCTCAACGCCTGCATGGTTACTGGTTTTTAGCATGCACCTGCAGTGAGGGAGGAATCAAACAGTTATTTTACTAAAGAATAAAAAAGTGTCATTCAAAGTTAAATAAATAAGTTT